ACTGCTCAAAGCCTTGGAACAAACTTCCAAGAGCTCTCAGAATTCGTTGCACATTGCGTTTGTTTAAGCTTTCGATAAAAGATCATTTAACCGTTCAAAATGTGATAACAATGTTTCGAACAGCACAGTCCTTAGATAACGCTTTTGAGAACGGAGTTAATGGTGCCTGAAAATGCATGTGGTCAAGTGCACAAGTGGTTATATTTTGTTGGCCCGCAGCACTTTATTCTCTCTTCTTTTTTTCGTGTGCGATCAACTCTCATGGACTGTTAAAAACTTTTCAGACGATAGAATAAGAGGAATGTAAATATTTTGGACCGCTTCGTACTACACAAATTTTCATTTTGTGCTCACGTTATTTTTAACTTTATTATACCATGATATGAAGCTGCTGTACCATTATTTGATCCGTCCCTTCTGGGAACGGCTTCTCGCATCGTCGAGCCATATACAATTTATTTATTTATTTAATTAATTAATTAATTTATTTATAGTCATGTGATGTGAAACCCTGTTAGGTCCTGGTGTAAATGTTGCACATTTCCACATCTGTGATATAGAACCAAATGTTGGTAGCACAGGTTATGCAGGGTTCTCTGAGCTCGGTATTTTGGATGCAGATCAGTGAACTCCCGGACCTCCAACATTTCCACACCACTCGGACAAACCGATTTCATGAACAAGGTTAAAATTTTCCGCGTAGGTATAGGGATATCAGGGCTCCGAATAGGAACACAGTAGAACACATTCCATCTGGGTCTTGTTGAAAGCTCTGTGTCATTGAGTTTATCAGGATTCTTGTGTACATTGCTCAAGTTCAACAGTATTGAAGAAGTCAACTGTATAACACTGGACGCGTTGGCAACAGGCGCGGGCAGAGAGTTCCAGTCGTTTCACCACAAAGCGTACAGAGTGACCTCCGGACGGACACGGGGGTTCCTCGGCTTAAACAGCTTCCAATAGTGTCCCGGCGTCGAGTTTTCAGTTTTCAACTGGAAGAATTGTAACTCGGTCCTTAATTCTTCAATAAGGATGCGCTTGGTGTAAATCAGGTCTCCCCAGCGACGAGGATATTCCAAAGAGAACAGATACTTCCGTTGTAGACGAGCAGAGTAGGATATATCACGTAACGCCCAGACCGAGTTGTATCCACGCATCTGTATTCTTTCGAGAAGGTTGCATTCAAAGTTCGTGAGGGGATAAACAGCCGGTAAGCCATGCTCAAGAATAGGCGTCCCATGCGAGACAAAGAAGTGTTTGAATATCTCCGTGGGAAACCGAGAGAAATATTTTCTTACAGCGTTGAACATCCTGTTGATTGCACCGACTCTCCTCAAAGTATCGCGGGTTGTCTTAAGACCACTAGACACAAAAGTGACTAGGGCCTTCGCTAGTGTGGCATTCGTGAGCGGACAACCGCCAAAATTTTATATGCCGAATGGGTTCAGTGGCATCGATTGGGAGGACGTAACACTTATCACGGTTAACAGGCAAACCCCAGGTGATGGACTAATCGTTAAAGATCTCATTGGCTGACTGTAATCTGTCGGCGTCATCGAGGCCAGAAACCTGTAAACATAGTTTCAGCCCATCAGTATGGATTAGACTCACCCAGGAAGCACAGACATAAGTTCGTCGATGCAGATTTCGAACAATACAGGACCAAGAACGGAACCCTGCGGCACACCACTGCTCATCAGGAAAGGCTGGGAAAGAGCTTCACTCACTTTGACTTTCATTAAATGACTGTGTAAGAAATCCGCGACCTAAGCAAGGATATTCCCCGCGACAACAAGTGGCCGGAGCTTAAGAAGGAGCCGTTCATCTGGTGCCTTATCAAAAGCTTTTCTGAATTCGACAAACATGAAATGCAAACGTTTATCAACGTCTAAGACTTGCCGATCTTTCTCTGGCGACAAGAAAGTAGGAATTGCAAGAGCAAGCCCTCAGGAACCCATGTTGAGCAGACAAAATCAGATTCACGGTTCCCAAGTGGCAATGTAGAGAAGTTTTAAGAAGTCTCTTCATGACTTTACAAATAAGTAATAATAGACAATTCTGGCGGTAGTTAAAATGGTCTTGCCGTTTCCTACCTTTGTATATTAACATGATGATACCAACTGTCCAATCAGATCGTAGGCGACCATTTGCCAAGGAGAGCCGAAAATGTGACTTTTTGGGTGTGCAATATGCTCAACGGTCTTTAGTAACATAGGATGAAAACCACCTGGACCAGGCAGAGTTAGTATCCAGTTCAAGGAGAATCCTCAATACCATGTCCGCGTTTATCTCAACGAACCCAAGAGGAGACGGATGCATTTCCACAATAGAACAGGTCAGCGCGGTCTCTATCGTATAGACGGAGGAGTATTGTTTGGCAAGAATATGAGCTTTCGCATTGTCATCCTGAAGCACAGCTGCATATCGAAAGAAGAACAGGGCGAGGACACAATTGCCAGCCTTGCTAGTCTGTTTCAGATAAGAAATGACTTTCCTGGGACATGCTGAAGATAGTGCAAACAAATCGTACTCATACTTCTGGTGCTTCTCACGTATTTTGCTGTAATGGTTCATGACTGCTTTGTAGTCAGCATAGGTAGAAGTCGACAGTACGACCTTGAATTTATACCGTAGCTTCCGCCTATTTTTTAACAGTGATCATAGCTTACCATTAATCCAAGGGAGAACCCCTGGAAATCGGTCTTCTACATAAATCTGGGGCAAGCTGATCAATGAGCATGGTCGTCTTGGTGCGAAAGTGAACCCAAGCAATCTCTAGCTCCAAGCGTTCAGGGATGCTCTAATCGACCGCATTCGCAATAGTTTTATACGTCATGGTTCGGCACGCAAGAAATTTTGGGAGTAAACTTCTTGGCCCTGAACAGCGAGACGTCGGGCACACGAGAAAGAGACAACACAGTGCTCACTTTTGTCTAGCGGCTGGAGGCGAGATAAGCCAGTGATCTCGGGTGGCACAGGCGTAAGCACCACGAAAAGGATATGAGAAGCCTGGTCTTGAAGAATTCTTGTAGGTTCTGTAACTGGGTGAGTCCAGTTAATTTCCAGGACGGATTCGAGTACAGCCTAGTCACACAATTCAACAGAGGGCCCACAGTGAAGGTGTTCCCAATCGATACTGTGGGCATTGAAGTCGCCCATAATCAGACAGTACCTTCCGCTTCCATACTTGCAGATAGCTTCCAACAAGCCTGTACCAGACCTCGATGGAGTCCTGTATATAATAGCAACTATATACGATCTACAGTCATAGTGGACGCGATACCAAAGGAGTTCCCCTTCCCTGTAGCTGTCACGCAAAGCTTCAACAATATGAACTGGAAGATCCACCTTCCAGTAGAGAATAACACCTCATCAAATTCGCCCTCCAGAATGGTCAGCTCGGGAAGTATGGTAGCCTATTATGGAGATCTCAGAGTCCAGAATGTCCGAGGTCAGCCAAGTTTCAGTGAACGATATCAAAGCCGGGCAGTGTTCTGTTCAAAAAGATGAATGTCGTCTAGTTTATTTCTCAGACTACACATTCGCACAAATAACACGCAATCCTTCCTTTAACGTCAATGTCCCGGGGTGACAAATATTGGCTTCCACCGGGCTCTCGGAGCTCTCTGGACTACTCGAAAATCAAAAATATGGAGATTTGATTCACCATTCGCACGACAAGCCCACATTTAACCAACCGCGTTTTGCATGTTCACCCAGTTCTCCGTGGAGAGTTGACAGAGGACAAAAAAACTCTTTCCCTTTTAGACGAAAAGTTCATGTGAGCATGCGGCGAACTTCGTCCACATTTTGACAGACGATCTTTAAGGAAGGGGATTTGGATGGCTTATCCTGTTTTTTACCGAGGCAAAAAGTGGAAAAGCTATTGATCCCCTGCACCATCGTTGAATATAAGCGAAATCATACGGTTAAGGAAATTCTGATCATTCAGGATCCTTCCAGCTAACGCTTCCATGTTGGACTCGGGAGCAGTTATAACAAGCAGGCCCCTGTCAAGATGATGTCTGCGTCCGTCACGCGGGTGCAGCCCTTGAGGAGGGGGGTTTTCATTCAACACTTTCTCAAGCTGGTTAACCCGATCAAGAATGAGCTTCAGCTTAGAATTCGTCGAATTAGGCTTAGACTTTGACTTCGCTGCCTGTAACGGTTCAGCGAGTACGACATTAGTGATAGTGGTAGAAGTTTGTGGAGCGGATGCACTTAATACGGAAACAAAGGACCTCAGACTCTGGGTGTTGCACTGTGCATCGGACCTAATCACTTCTGGCGAGGGAACAGTATAAAGTCCGCTCTGGGCTGAAAGCTATTCACGGGCAGGTGAAGAGACAAATGTCGGTCGGCAGTCCGCAACTACAGTTGCAGATGTCTTCAACTTTGTCCGGCGGCTGCGTCCATCAGTCAATGGAACTGTTGCAGGTGTTTCGTACATATTGCTTTTTAGTGCGACGTCTCTCGACTGACACGGACTACACCTTTTACCAGTAGGATAATTTTATACTAAACATAATTATTCTAAATGTATAGGTTGCCCGGAAGCTAAGGTTGTTTGTAGCAACATTCATCCAGAAGCCTGAGTGACGACAAATCCACTGTACCGTTGCAGGGTAATAGACATCCTCATGAGACCTAGGGCAAAACATCAGAAATTATAGCGTAATTAGCAGCATTGTTTTGGTTAGATCACGACGGGCTTAATGACAAAGGTCATAGTTTTAAGGCACTTCATTTATATACAACTACATTTACTCGGTAGGCAGAGCTTCTTCATGGAACCTCTGATGTCAAGTTCCACTTGCGGCTCAGAGCAACAGGATGTAAGTCAAAAGATAGGGAACTGGACGAAACACTTACTCTCAAGCGGAGTCCATATGAACAGGTTGGTTAGGTTACGTTGTATTTCACAAAAGGAATCCTGCACCTAATTTGCCATTTAACTTCCATTGATGCTATGTAATTTTGTGCAATTTGGCTTTCTTCAGGAAAAGCAGAAAATCATTGAACTTGGAAACATTTACTCGAAACGCACAGTAAAACATTTGCAGCCAAATCAGCCCGTCGAATCAACAGAATGCTTGCTTGTAGATGGGGAACATGGCAAAGGAAAGCTCAGGGAACGCATTAAGGAATTTGACCAGCGGCGACAAGATCTGGAAAAACGGAGAAAAAAGGCAAGTTATGACCCTTTTTACTCCACATTTTCAAGTTGCTGCTTCTCGCGTGATAATATTCTGCAACTAATAAATTTGCGGAAATTTATAAAATATTGAAATGACTGGCCTCAATTCAGATCAATCTCAGCAGATAAACGATTCCTAAGTCCACGCACCATCTACACATTTATTTACATAGGATGTACCGATTTACTGAAGTCATTGCGTGATTGCTGACCACTTGCATGAAATAATGGTTAAGTGTACGGCCGACATAACTTTAAATTTGTCCGTTCCGAACACGCGTGTGTAAGCACTGCTAAGCTTTTTTAAGTTGAGCTCAGGTGACTTTCCTCCGCCTGTCGGAGAGCATTCTTATTCTTCAGAACTTGATTTGAAGTACACGTGGGTACTCCAAATCAAACTTTTTATGCCTTAACGCTGTGCCACGCGTTGCCCACGGATCTTAGAGCCATAGTTATCAAGGCGTCAGCCTTTAAACACTTGGCATCGAGTCCCACCTCAGCTCAGGATATTTCTAACTGATGAGTCCTAACGAGGAGGAAACTGGTTATGAGGTGTCAGTGTTGGTAGGAACACCATCGAACCACTTCCAATCCGCGTGATCATTCCCGTTGAAGTATAAAGACAAATAAACGGTTATATGTGTCTGAGACAAATAAGACAGTTTCAGTGTATGTGTGAATGTTCCCATCTCAACTTCGTACCTTATGTGGTTTAGGGTGTTTACTTCAGTGGCACAGTAGACTTAATTTATACCCTTGCACGCTGTTGAGTGTGAGAATGAAAAAGCGCCCAGACAGATTGTCATACCATATCCACTCGGCTGGAGCAATACGATGATTGCATACAAATACCGTTTGTAGCAAAACGCTTTCGACCTGATAATTATCATCAACCAAGGGTTGATTGTCATCACTCCATTCTACAAAACTGCAGCACAACGAAAGCTGCCTGTGCAGTTAAGGCCTGATGTTTGGGGAAACCATTTAAATTAGACCATGGGAGTAGTTATCCAATTTCCCCTCATCAGCCACATTGAGAGGAAGCAAACCGCAAAAACTCATGCAGCCTTTATTGCCTATTACAAAGCACTATACATCGCTGCAATTGCATTCGGAACACCTCGAACCAAATCATAGGCTTTCCATTAATATATTTTTCATTTTATACTGAGAAGGTTAATTCAGATCCACGTAGGATCTTCCAATTATGTGAGCTCAAAACAGGTTTCTGACCAATTCGCAATCTCCGATGAAGAAAGAAAAACTTGTAGTGATGCAGCTTATCCTCTTAGAGGTTTCACCGCTTGTGCCTTGGCGAAATGTTGTCTAAAATCAATGTATTGACCTTAAAATCCACTGAAGTACAACGGACGTCAGTTTGTTCTACTGCTCGACTTGAGTTCCTAAGCTGAATAGATAAAGCAGCACTGATTCTGCGACCGTATTTCGCTGCCACCCACTGTTGAAAAGCATCAAAGCAAATATAGGTACCAGTGCGGTGAGTGGCTGAGCTTACTATCCTAGTGTTCGACATGTCAATTGATGTCTTCTTTCCGTAGGGATTTCCGCGAGATTAGTTGTCAAGCCTCCAAGGAAGTTAGGCTAAAACTTTGCTTCTGTGCTAGCCAAAACCTACAAACTATTAGGTATACTAACTTTGTGACTATTCTCCGTGTGCGGATTATGATACATAGTTCTGTTTAAGATCATTTTTCTGGTGAATATTGGGTCCATCGCCACTAAGATGAGCTTCGAAATGAAACATTGCGATGGTAACGTTTATCTGTACTTGCTGCATCGTGACTGTGAATTCATTTGTGAACTAAAGACAGATTTCTCAATTTTATTAACTAAGCAGACAAAAACATTTGCAAGAATTCAATTCACGCGGATACACAATTGATGGGAGTACCCTTTGCGAGTGGCAGTTTGTTTATAAGTTTTCTATCAGACGTAGCAACACGTTCTCCAGTATATGTAATCATGGGCTAGATCAGTTCATTTATTCCTTAAATGTTTATCGGGAGCTGTCAAGGTGCTTCGTCAACAATGGATTATATCACCTCCTTAGGTGCCTATTGCACATAACCTAGGCTGCAAGATGAACTCAGCCTCAGTTATCGCCAAGTTCAAATGAACCCAAGCATAACACATTGCTCGGGTCACATGGTAGCAAAGCATTCACTCGCCCTCTACACACGGAGCTTTGCAAGAATGTGTTCGTTCTTGTAATAATGTGGGCAGAATAGGACTTTAATCATATCAGATGTATGGTTACCTCTGGACTGCGTTGCATATTAAAAGACATCCTGCTTTGAGAACAAGGAGTACGGAGAGGAAACACGCTCCGCAGATCAATACTAATTTGGCAGACTCCCTTTAGGCGCCAATGCGGTGGATGGTAACTGGCGGTCTAGTTCCTTTTTTCTGAATGATTCAGTTTCATGTGTAATGGAGCCCACGAAAACCACTGGAAAGGTTAAGCAAAATGTAAATCGCTGAAATTTTCAGTCAGTACTTTACACTTTTACGAAGTATCTCTAATTCTAAGTTATTTCATGCAGTCCTTATTTTCCATTCTTCCATTTGGAAAGATTCGCCGAGAACGAATGTTACAGTCCCGATTGAGTCGCTCACCAGAACTAATCGAGTTCGATGCTGGTTTAGAGGAACATGAAACGGATGAAAAACAGCTTACTAGCAATTGTTCCACCGCTTCTTATTCCACTCAGCGCTCGAATGCTAATCGCATTGGAATAAGCCGAAAACAACGTTCTACAACCAATGATAACCAGGTCTTGCTGCCCAAGATTCAAACTACAGAAGCGTTGCACAAACAGGACTCAGACAGGAAACGGGGAAAGTGAGCTATCCTGATTTACTATAAAAGGATGAGGTGGGATTACACCTAATTGTGTCGTTAGGTACTTTTACATGAGGAGAATGTACAGGCATTGGCGTTGAGTTCGTTGCAGCACCGTGTATTCTGTTGGGTAGATGTAATTTAAAGTGAAATTAGATACTTCATTTATTTCCTGCGCAGCAGAAAGTACTCTTTTGGCTGTTTGGCGCAGAATATGTCCACTGTGTCCCAGATGAGGTTCTGCAAAGTACATTAAATTAACGCACACGCTGAAGAAAGCAGATAAATTTGCATAGCTCAGTAAACTTCTGTAATGAAAAATGAATAATGATTTGTGCCGGGTACAATAGCAGTTGCTTGACAGGTCCTGTAAGATAGTATGGGTAAAACTACAATATCAAAAGACGTGTGAGCTGTCTGGTTGAACGTTTATCTAGCAGCTACGCTGTTAAATAATGGTTGTATACGTGGGAATTGAATGCGAACGACGAGGCAAAATGGGGCAAGATGTATTCGGCGCTAAAAGTGAAAACAGGTATATTCACTTCTGTGCCGCCTCCTCAGATTTTTATGACATATGCATCCGACTTGAAGGAATGATCCAAATATTAGAAAGCAGCACATTTTAGTCAGCAAAGCGTTAGGGCCAAGGACTAGCTTCTTTTTAAATATCCAAAGTGGGGGAAGAAACAAGTTAGTTTGGGAGAGAATTCCAAGGTTGGCAAGACCGAAGAAAAAATAATTCCACCGGCTTTCCAGGCAACTATGCTGTTTACACATTTTCAGAGGGTTACGTCTGAGCTTGATACATTTGGCTGAGTTTCAGCAAGTGACGACATACGTGATTGGGGTCATGCAATATTTGGTGCACTAATACGAGATCCCCTCGCGGAATTCGGAAGAGTCCACTGAAAACGCCTACTGACTTCAGTTTTTGCTGGCAGGACAGATTTCGTATGTCCTTTACGAACTTTGTGCCCCTACGTTGTTTTTTTCCAGCATCCTAAGTACACTTCAGCCAAGGTTACTAAGCTTGGCTAGCGAATTGCACGTGAGGACATACGTAGGATTTGTGAATCATGGGGAAGATGGATGAGTCGAAACTTTCGATTGCTCTCCGCAGCAGGTCGACTTGCTGGTTGCTTCTTTTCAAAGCTGCCTCTGACTGTTTCGAACAATTAAGGTCGTTTTGAGTGAGCACACTAAGTTCACCTTCCCGGGAAGGGGTTCTGCATATATTTGACTCCAGCTGCTACATCTAGTCAAGTCTATGGCGCAAAGGAAGAGTGCGACATTTTCCACATTGAACAGTAGTGTATTCTGAACTGACCAGGTCGGAATCGCGTTGAACAAACCCGGGAACTTTTCGTGGTCCTTCGGTTGCCTGATCGCTCGCCAAGTGTTATCGCTGGTGATTTATTCTCTCAGCTGGCAGCGACGTGGGTAATAATGGTGGTTATCAAATTAAGGATTGATGTGCCAGGTTGCTCGAAAAGATACGGTCTCATTTAAGTATTTATAAGGAAGTATGTGTCTTTCGGTATCGGCATTGTTCTCATAGCCAACTTTTGCGTGCCAAGTGTACAACAAAGCATTTCAGAGAAAGTGGCTAGCAGGCAAATATTGCGTGTTGCCGGGCCGAAGACACCGATGGATAACTGTTTCAAATCTTCGTAACTAGTTTTAAATGCGGAGCACAGATTTTTCTGTACTCCGATCGTATTCAAGATTTAGATGCCGGTACATTATCTCAAACAGTGTCAGAGCACGTCTGTTTTGTAATATCAGGTGTTTACAGGAAGGCGTTTGTGGATGATTAACTGGTTTACTAAGTGTATTTCACGGGCGAACTGTTGTCACATAAGCGCAATTGACAGATCATAATTGGCCTCCACTTTGTGTGGTTATCTACGTGGACTAGGAGTTAGTTGGAGAACTCTGAAAGGGGCCGGTGTATGGAGACTGAAGATAGCGACGCATTGCGTCAGTGCGGACGAAAACGTGAGGGTAGTTAGAGAGTCCACTGTGTAGTTACACATCTCCGATCTGCTCACGAGCGCAGCAGGCGCATACGTTGAGAAAGAGGAGATGCGAAATTTGCCGGTGGCATACACGATGGCGAAGGGGGAGAAATGAACTCTACTGGCACCTTAATTGTGTTGTGTCGTAGACTAACTCTGCTCGTGCGCGCTGCAGGTCAGCTTTGATGCTGCTACGCATACCTAGAAGTACTGGTCAAATATTTTCGCTCCAGTCAGAGGCAGAACTAGCACAGGTGGATGACTTAGGCTGTCGATGAAAGCGTTCGACTAGATCATTAGCTGATAGGTGACATGTCGTCGTAGAAATACGGCGGCGGCCTACAAAGTAGCAGAACGGATCAAATTACGAAGCTTCGAAAACCGAAGCACAGTCGTTCTTGATGGTGTAAAGGCATCAGTAATGTGACACCCAACGGCCCAAGAAAGCAAAGACAACAGCTTCTACTGTGCAGCCTAGTACAGGAATGGATTCTGGCCATCTAGTGATGCACATGTCAATACACATGTCAATATCTATATGAATACGTGGGAAGGTAACAAATGTCCTACCAAGCCTATGTGCAAGTGTGAGAACGAAGAATACGGGGCAGTGAATGAGCCGGGAGGACTACTGGTGTGTCGATGTACCTTGAAGCACCGACAGTGAAGACAGAGTCGAGCCCAGTTACGAACATTCTTGTTTACGCTTGGTCAAACGAAAGACTCGATGATCAGTTTTATAGATGCCCAAATACCAGGATGAGACATTGAGTGGTGTGTCGAAGACTGTGGGTATGATAGAGGCTGGCAACAAAGGTCTAGGAAAACCAGTGGACGTGTCACAAAGAATAGTTTCGTCCGCAGTTAGGGGAGGAATGGGTTGCAACTGCAGCGAAATGGGCTGCAAGTTGCTTTGGAGGTTTTTATCTTGGACTTTAGCCGATTCCTTGGCGGCAAGGTCCCGAGTAGTCAAGGAGTGAAGAGTTAGGTTGACGCGTGAGAGAGCGTCAGTTACGGGTTTCTTGACATCAGATACGTCAAAAACAAGGAACAATGAAACTATCCGGGTTAAGAAGCGTTATTTTACAAGTCCCGTTGGATAGTTGACGTGGATATCGAAATACCAATAGTAATAAGTATAGTAATATTAATAATATTTAAACAGTTATTACTTTAAATATGAAAATAAAGACTTGTCCTTTGCACCACTGTAGCTCTGTAATCCGCCTTGGCACACAGCACCCAAAGTCCCCATCAAATAAATCCAGCAGTGAACTGCATGACAGTCTAGGTGTCTAGTTTCCCGTGGTGAATATTTGTCAGCAGATGAGCTGAAAACGAAAATGAGAGGCTTGTGATGAGTGTAGACCATGAAAGCCCGACCTTCTAATATGGGTCGGAAGTGACGGATAGCTAGGTAGATGGCAAACAGTTCTCTACCAAACGCGCTGTAGTGGGATTCCGCTGGTTGTAGGCGCTTGGAGAAGAAACTGCCTGGTCACCACTGCGCACCAGTGTTGCCAATGAACAGCTCTTACTGCAAGGTTTGTAGCGCCAGTTGTAAGACAAATAGGTGCTGACGCTTCGGAGTGAGCGGGGAGAGCTATGTTGGAGATAGGATCATTGAGCTCGGCGAAATCCGTGTGTGCAGTATCGGGGAAAGCGAAGCTACGCTCGTTTGCTCTGAGAAGGTTAGTCAGGGATTGCATGAGCTGAGCACAGGCGGTGATGAAGCATTGATCGTAGTTGACTAGAACACAAAAATTGACGGAGATGTTTTAAATAAAGTCGGAGCTTGAAACTCTTTAATATCCTGAAGTTTTTCTGCAAGAAAGTCGATATCAGACAATGAGATTATGTGGCCTAGGGATTTTACCGTTGACTTGCCAAGTTCGCACATAGGCGGGTTAAAGGTTATACCGTGTTGGGTCAGCTGTTGGTAGAGCAGTTGATGATAAGCGAGGTACTCTTCATCGGATGAACTGGCGACCACGATGTCGTCGAGGTAAGGGTAAGCAAATCCAAGGTCACGAGTGACGTCGTAGATGAATAGCTGCAATGGCTGCGCGGCGTTGCACAGCCCAAAAGGCATTCTAAAATAATTCCAACAAGCTTACTCGAGGAATTATGGCTGTTTTAGTTTTGGATTCTCCTTGACAGGTTTCCGGTGATAGGCAGGAGCAGGATCCATCTCATTGAAGACCGTGTTACCTGTGAGGTATGCAGTAAGTTCCTGTATATATGAGATAGGGTACCTGTTGGTAACCGTAGTTTTATTTACTACACAGTACTCGCCGCAAGGACCCTAGTTTCCAGCATTTTTGAAATCATCTGCAGTGGAGAGGACCAAGGACTGTCTGAAGTATGGATTATTCCAAGTTGGATCATGTGCTCACACTGTACCCAAACTAGGTTGAGGTTCTCCGGCAAAAGTCGGCGAGGGTGCACTGAAACCGGTAGGCCATTAGTCCGGATATATAGCATGACTTGGGATGCCACAGACAGGTCCGCGTTCATTGGCTTAACGAGCTTATGATAGTGAAAGAAAGTTTGGCGTAATCCGGAGAGGTCTGTGAGCAAACGTGGACTGGGTGAGGTCTGAGATGCCAGTGATGCTGAGTGTCGTAGCAGGATCGACTTTCCTCATTTGTTTTATATCGACCAATAGGTGAAAATATCTAGGTCTTTGCCGATGATAAACGAAAAGGCTGCAATAATGAACATTCAGCGAAGTGTGCTACGGTGACTTAAGTTAGTGCTTAAAGGAGCAGTGTCCGTAAGTAGAGATGAGTGTGCCGTTGGCGGCAAGAAGACTGAGAGAAGATGGCTGTGCCGCCTCCCCAGGTGCGGGACGAAGCACGCTTGGTTCAACCCCGGTATCAACCAGCAAGGTGGTTCCAGCTTTGCAGTCCTGAACGTAAAGGAAGCTACTATAGGGGGTGTGGCCTGTGCGGTTATTGTTCCGTGAGTTGAGGCTTGGAGCGTTCATGGTGTGAGTCGAAAGGAAGTTGCAAGGCGTTGTATATCACTTCACCCGAGGGCAAAAGCGGCAGTGGTACCAGCATAGTTTGTTGCGTGGTAGGCTGCTGGTTCTGACCTGCTTGCTCATAGGTACCCGTGAGCTAGTGAATGCTGAAAGAGCATCGATAGAGCTGCGTAATGCCTCTACTTAATTACGTGCTACGGTAAGCTCGGAGAGATGGGCCGCACGATAGGTGCATGAAGTAGGCGGCTGTTGAGTCGTTTTTAGGTCTATTCGCGGATACACAGCAGTGGCGTTGCGCAATCTATTTCCTTAGGAAGTTGATCTTTAATCACATCAGTCAGTTGCAGGGCTAGGGTGAAGGAAGAGACGTTGGCGGATATGACGATAGTTTGGGCTATTTCGGGTATATGTTGAAGACAGGTTTAGTAGGATTAAGTCGTTCATTGAATGCGAGTCTAAGAGTCTCTTCATCTCAGCTAATAGAGCGGATGACCTCGCAGCTCCAAGACGCAAGCCATGGAATAGCTGCATACTAGTTGTTCAAGTGGGGTCACGATCTCTTGCCTAAGAGATTCATAAGGTAGATCCGCATTTGGACTAAGAAGAGTGTGTCTGAGCTGTAAAGCGGAGTCCCGAAGTAGGCTGTTTAGCAAATATCTAAATGTGGGTTGGCCGGAAATAAAATTATGGCACGAAATCTCATAATCTCATAGGACAAGTCAAATATGTCATCAAAAATGACAGCGGCGAGAGACAGCAATACAACGCTAATCGGTCAACCGAAAAGGTTAGTACCTGACTGAGACATAGAATAAGAGAAAATAAGATTTGCAAAAAGGCAATTCAGAAGTGGAAAGCAACAAGCTTAAAAAATGGTTTCGGCGATGGCAAAACCATGTTCGCAGTCGGGGTCAACAATTGTGAGGTGCTACTCATATACCAATCACAAGGGGTGGCACGTAAGAGGTGTACCTAGTACGGCAGTAGGCAGAAGAGTTAGATCACCTAGACCCAACGTCTATAGACAACAGCTACAAAGGATGGAGCGCAGGTAGGCAGTGGAAGTCAGTGATATGCAGCATGATCCACGAGGGGAGCCGGTTATCGGTATGTACCATGTTACACAATTGGTCGATCACAAGCTCGAAACAAGGATGTCTCAAAATACTGAAAGCGTGAATGATGCCTGTCAACTATACCCCATTATTCATAGTCGTGAGACAGTCGATATTTTTGAACCTCATTTTCCTCGTGCATTTATCTCCGCCTTCCAAGGACCTAATAAGATATTATCCACCTTTTTATAAAACTGAACGGTCTGCGCTTTGTCATTAGGCTCATCTTATGTATCAGTAAAGGCTTCAACTAAATTTCTTGTTTAATTTAACCAGTGGGTTTTTTTACGCTGCCGCTGAGTGTGTTTTGATTAATGTTAATCTCGGTCACTTCTCGGTTGATAACCCTGTACGTTGTACATCTGGCATCCTGAACTTCGGGACGCACTTCAAAAACACCTCGAACAATAAAACGGCACCTTCATTCAAACTAAGGCATAACGGCATTGTGTTGAAGCATTGCGTACTAGAGAAGCAATTAGTATCCACGATTATATGCAATGAAAAATGGGATCCCAGTTCAAAATATGAATCCGTTGTACATTTAAATGGCTGCTACTAACAAGTCATAAACCACATTTCGGTGAAAATAAGTTTTACCAATACACTTTCATTCGAATACAGGAGTCCCGGGGAGAGTAAGCAAGTGCGGTTCAAGTGAGTTTGTTGCACAATACATTTAATTTGTACGGGTAAATCTATAAGGGCAGCTTCTTGTCTCATTGTGTGTTCCTTTTTCAGCCCCACCTTGGAGCAACCAATTCGCACCGAAAACCTATCTGATGAAGATAAGGCAATTTTCCAAAAGCTAAAAGATGAAGAGCGTTACGCTCGACTTCGTGCAGAAGCGGAAATAATGCAGGCGGACGACGACAATAGGGCTCAAGCAGGGGAACTTGACAGTGTGTCCGAGAGTACATCAAATAATTCTGGAGGTGCTGTTCAGCGCAATGTGATTGAACGCTTTGTAAAGCCTTCCAGTGTTAAGTTGGATCCTGTATCGAAGGGTGACAGCCCAAACCACTTTTGTCAGGGAACAAGTTCGCCTATAATAAATGACACAATTGTGCAAGATGGTTTCCAACCACACAGTACTGCCAAGCTGGAGGATATGTGTGGTGATGAAGGAATTGCACAAGGCTTCCTTGAGCCTATACAACAGAGGACAGTACTGGTAAGTGCTGTAGCTAACACCACGAGGTAACTGTATGTCTGTCGACGCCCACATAACACTAGTAAAAAGGGGTGTATTTCTCGCTTGTCGACAAGTACCCGGATTCACAATGCCAACCTCCGCGGCCGCATGAAGCAATGGTTGGTGAATTTGCGAGAACTCGAGGTGCGGACGGACTTGTTCGTCGTATTGAACAGTAGTACAAGATACAGCGGTTCTGACAAACGAAACTTTCGCTCATCTACCGACTCAGTGTTAGAGGCTGCATGGCACATGTTGCTTCTGTGTCTAGTGATAATGTGACATGCACTGCTTATGTGTCCATTTCATTCGCGCCTACGTCGGCGGTTCCCAAGAGATCAGTTCCCATCGGAGAGTTATTATGGCATGCTGGTCGCTTCCTGGTACTTTTATACTACTGATAACTGATGAAGTAGTGTCTGTTTTTGGTCCACCACAAGGCCGCTATAACTTAAGAACGTAGTTATGTTTCTTCGATAAATGTATGAAGTTTCAGGGTGGAAGTTTACATTTTGTGTGAAGGTTAGCTAGACTATACCCTGCGGGGGTGACCTTAAAGAAAACCTACCAATGGCCATTTTAGATTGAGGCAGGACAAAATGTTGGCTTGTCCGTTGTTCAGCTATTTGGTGTTGCGTGTCTAGCTTGTTGAGCTGGATGCAAAAAAATATCAGGTAAAAATGCAACCAAATCAAGTAGATTTTTGGCCGGCTTCTTCCTTCATTTACTGAATAACCTCGTCTTCATCTTACTCATTGTCATGGTCAGAAAGAATCTCTGTGATAAAATAAGACGGGATTTGTGCAGATGCCACCGCGCCCATCCAGTTAAATTTCGCACACCACCTTTTATGAACTAAAATGAACCAAGGTTGTTTTTAAATCACTGAATTTTACACAAAGAACTTCCTTATAATTGGCTCACGTTAGACTCCTTTATGGCTGAGGGTCATACTGGTGCGCAATACCTAAATCAAATCCAACAAAACATGTGTTTCTCTGCCTTCATTTTGTTCAACCACTTAAGCCAATGTAATACGAAATTTTGGTTGATACTTTGCTCATGCAATTGACCGTGTCCTATAGTCATGCGACTACTTACGTACAACCCCCTGCTTCAGCACACTGTACATGCAATGGAGGCAAATACCCCAACTTCCAGCATTCCACCGGTAGCCAACAGTCCGCGAAACCCGAGAACTACCAGCGAACAATCCACCTTTGCCTCGTTTGAGCTGCCTACAGCACCAGAGAGAGTAACGCAACTATGTCGCCCTTTTGGTGACCAGGAAATCGATGACTTCATGAGTGAAGAGACGGGTGGTAGCAGTACTTCCAACTCGGACACCATAGAAAGCAGATTCGATGATGATTATTTATGGCACGATACACCGACTGCACATGCAATGGTACCTCTGGATGGTGCTGTAGATCAACATGCACGCATGTTTCGTGGGCCCAACGGCTTACTTGTCAACGCTGCTTCCGACGTTGATGGGTTGGACATTGAATATATAACCGAAGTAAGCAGAACTTTTTAAACTGGACAAACGAAATCCGTGAGTTATGTGTAATATGTGGTAAAATCATATCCTCAAACTGCACAATATATTGCTGTTCAAAACTTCGGTACAAGCATCAGTCAGTAAAAAGTTAATTAACGCCTTCAAGTTTAGCTGCACCTGGAAACAGTAACAACAATGCCCTGTACTTGCTTCTGTTCCGTTTGCAGACGTATCCATTCATTGCAAAAGTAGACACCTGATTTCCTTAGCCCACTGAAATATACGGTGAAGTTGACTAATTAAAGCAGTTGCCACGAATAGAAAATTATTCGAAATAAATAATTAACGACGATTAAGCCGTTAACAGCGAACTACGCATCAAACTTCTTCTGCCCTTTTCTGGTTGCGCTGGAGTCTTCTCCCTGTAAGCATTTAATTCTAAGCTAGTTTAGTGCATTCGAAGTGGTGCGGATTCCGCTTTATTTGCTTGCTGTTTCTTTGAAGTATCTTACTCTCTTTAAATGGCGATCTAGTGCAACGCTTAAAGAACTTTCGGTTTACAATTTTTAAGAAAAAGGTGTATTGAATAGGTGAATACGAAGCTTTAGCGATGGTGCAGTGGGGAATCAGGGCGCAGCGTTTTTTCAAGTAAGCCACTGTGGTTGCACCAGTTTCGCCCAAATCCCCAAAATACTAGTTAACAACCAGTAAGCATGGAATTAACCTACAATACCAACAGGAAACTAACATCTTAGCGAGGAAAATGGAAGGTCTGTGGGCACGCTTTGTTCTCTGAACCACTGTGATGTACCTGGCCGTGTAAAATACACACCGCAACGTGGTTGGCGGCATCCGTTTTCGGATTTGCCTGTCACTGTGGCCAGCCAAAGGACGCCTGCGACACAGAGGGACTGTTAAAAGTCGGTCCTTAGATTTTATCTCTTGGCTTTGTCATTTTTCACCATGATCGTTTTGTGTACGCTTGTCAGAGTGAAGCCGATGTTAGTGACCTGTATCCGTCTGTGTTTAGCCCGGGTTTAGGGGAATTTGAGGGTACCGCTCACCTGTCGTTAGATCCTTTGGTACGCCCGATTGCGTTACCTGCTAGAAGAGTCCCATTTGCGCTACGTGACCGATTTTCCGCGGAGTCGAACAAGCCGGTTATGCAGGGCGTGATTGCAAAGGTTGATGAGCCAACAGACTGGGTTAGCCAGCTCGCAATCATTACGAAGAAAAATGGCGAACTACGCGTATGTATAGACCCGAAGCCACTGAATGAGGCCCTGCGTAGAGAACATTATGCCCTACCGACGTTAGAAGATGTTTTATCACGTTTGACAAAAGCTAAGTATTTTACGAAAGTAGACCTCTCTTCCGCATTCTGGCACGTTGTTCTAGACGACGAATCCAGTTTCCTCACCACATTTGCTACACCGTTCGGACGTTATCGTTGGCTGCGATTACCGTTTGGCCTGAAGGTGTCTAGCGAAATTTTCCAAAAGCGTTTGGTGCAAGCAATAGATGATTTAGATGGCGTAACCTGTGTGGCAGATGACGTTCAGATTTACGGTTCTACCGAAGAAGAGCATGACACTAAGCTACACCGGTTCCTGAGGAGTTGCGTGCAAAAGAACATCAAGCTAAAACGCGAGAAAGTAGAGCTGCGGAAAGAGGAGGCGATGTTCCATGGGCATGTGTTAACATCCGACGGAATCAGAGTTGACCCAGGGAAGATTAAGGCGATACAACAGATGCCGTCCCCTAACGATGTGAAGGCAGTCCATCGCCTAAACGTTATGGTGAATTATTTAAGCCGGTTCCTACCAGGACTCGCTGATATCATGACTCCGATTAGGCAGTTAACTCACAAAGGAGTAAATTGGAGCTGGGGGAAGGAACAGGATTTGGCTTTCGCAACCATTAAGAACCTTATCAGTAATGCGCCCGTACTCGGATATTACGATCCAGCACAACCATTGGAGGTACAGTGTAATAGTAACCAGAGTGGAATAGGTGCTGTTCTGTTGCAGAACGGAAGACTTTTGGATTTCCGCAGTCGAGCACTCACAGAGGCCGAGAAGCGGTACGCACAGATCGAGAAAGAGATGCTGGCAGTGGTCTATGCCATAGAGCGTTTCAATGATTATACTTTTGGAAGAAAGACAACCGTGTACACTGATCATAAGCCGCTGGTGTCGATAGCCACTAAACCACTGAATAACGTTCCTCGTCGTCTGCAGCGTATGCTTATCCGGCTCCAAAAGTATGACATTGACATTGTGTACACACCTGGCACACAGATGTTCATCGCGGACACCCTGTCGAGAGCACATCCGCCAGTGGCCGAACATCATCTAGAAGAGATCGAGACAGTTAGCATGGTGCAGCATCTGGCAGTGACAGAAAACCGTTTGAAAGACATAAGACGTTTCACGGAGGACGACCAAACTTTTGCAGCTTTGCGAGACGTTATCCTCAATTGGTGGCCAGAAACAAAGAAGCAGCTCCCGAAAGAATTAACACCCTACTTCAATTTTCGGGACGAACTTACTGTCTGTGACGGTCTGTTGTTCAAGGGAAGTCGAATTCTAATCCCTTCTTCTCTCCGAAAAGAGATGCTGAAGCATGTCCATCGCGCTCATCTGGGTGCAAATTACACCATTAATCGAGCAAGGGAACTGATGTTCTGGCCAGGAATGACAGGTCAGATCAGGGATCATGTGTCTAACTGTGAGGCGCGCCGTTCACACGACATTCGGCAAACGAAGGAACCGATGATGCTGCATGAGTTTCCGGACCGACCTTGGCAAAAAGTAGCAGTGGATCTATTCTGGGACAACGGAAAGGATTACTTACTCACGGTGGACTACTATAGTGATTACTTTGAAATCGATTTACTCACCACCACGACCACGGAGGCAGTAGTCAACAAACTCAGATGTCAATTCGCACGGCACGGGATACCGGAGGAGCTAGCCTCGGACAACGGTCCACAGTTCAGCAGCATGGCATTCCAGGTTTTCGCAACCAAATGGGAATTCGCACACCGGCAAACCAGCCCCTATCACAGTCAATCAAATGGGAAGGCAGAGTCGGCAGTGAAGCAAGCCAAGCGACTATTAGCGAAGGCTAGAGATACTCGGGTGGACCCATACCTCATGCAACTGGAGAGTCGCAACACTCCTTCAACGGATATCGGCCTGAGCCCAGTGCAGCGCCTATACAGTCGAAGGACCAGAACTGTGATGCCTTCATCCGCAACACTTCTGCGCCCTGTCACGCCACAACTTGAGAAAGTACAGAACAGTTTGAAAAGGCGAATGGCTACTCAGAAACCGTACTACGACAACGGCGTACGGGAATTACCTGAGCTGACAGTGGGGGAAGAAGTATGGGTTGAACCAATTCCCGATGGACAGGAGCGGTGGAGAAAAGGAGTCGTGGCTGCGAAAGTCGTTGAAAGATCATACGAAGTAAATGTTGGAGGGAAGAAGCTGAGAAGAAACCGAGTACAGCTGAGGAGACGTCCGAGGCGACAGCATGAATCAGGGAGAGAGCGTTATATTGCGTGCGGCAATGAGGCGACATCGGAAGATCCAACAAAGAGGCCGCGGAGTGGTAAAGTGTATGGACTATTTAGCAAAGTACAGCAGCAAGAACATGAAAAAAGGGAGGATGTGCTGGGTGTATACACTCGAAGGAACGTGCGGTGCCAGCCCAGCAAGGAAGCCGTTAGGCTGCCGCAAAGAAAGGCGGCAGCTGATAGGACGTTCACACGTTTCTCGCATGAACGCTGATTGGCCAACAGTGGACGCGTTGGAGTGAGTTTGTTTGACTGAATCAAAGGAAAAATGTCATGCATTCACAAAGGTCGTTAATTGTGGATCCAACTAGCTGTATATACCGATATGTTTCACTCGCCCTCTGCCTGCGTTTTCGCCTGGTCTGTTGTTTGCAGAATATACGTTTTGTCCCTGAAGGACCGACTTTTTACAGGACCCTCACGATAAGTTTATTAACTGTGCCCGGCTTGTCTTCTAGCTATTGTTCGCACGCATCCAGCGACGCTGATGCGGCGTTAACTAAACTGGACTGGGCATCCTTCCCATCACCTAGGTAGAGTCATGGTTGCTTGATTGGATTCCCGTGAGCGGTCGTTTGTCCGCAGCGTGTTTGAAAACATGAACTAAGATTGATGCAGGCATTAATAAAAGACGCCGTTTGTTCGTGGTTTCCACTTATGCTCCCACCGAGTGCAACACTGCTGCTGCCAAGAACCCACTCTACCACTAACTGAACACGCTACCACGCAATGCTACCAGTAAAGACATCATAGTTCTCGCATGGGATATGAATGCAAAAGTAGGTTGCCTGTGCTCTTCAGAAGCTCAGCTAAGTGGTCAGTATGGGCCATACTGCAACCGGATGGACAACAGCGAGCGTCTGTCGCAAATGTGTGCGGAGCACCAGAGGTTACTTAGTAGCCTCACTGTTCGACACAGCAAGCGCCAAAGTGTCACTTGGTGTCCTCCTGTAGCTGCTCAGTAATAGACCCATATTTTCATAAGTTGCAGGTGGCGTTATTCCATTCTGGATTGCCGCTCGTACTATAGTACTTGCGTCGAATCTGAGAAAGCCTTGGTAAGCTGTCGTTTCTCCATGACCTTAAAGTAGCGGCACACCAAGCTTCTCCTTCAATTGGCGTCTGAGAAATTATCTCAGCTCTCGGTCAAGCAATCCTACCAGAATGTATTGCATACCTAACTTTCGCTCCATTTGCATAATGACACTGAGCCTCAGTGGAATAGGATCTCGGCCGCCACGCACGACGCAAGATCATCTGCTTGTGGTACTATCACTCGTCACTGCACCAGTACCTGGATTTAAGAGAAGTCGGTGAACCTGTGGGAATCCACTAGTAACATCCCGGTTGCCTCTGAGCACAATGTGACCAGACGGACTATTTAGCGGGAACTACAGAGAAGCCTGAGATCTGTCAATGAAGCCTGGTATACCAG